TGGTTCCTGGTTCTTACCCTCCTCCAAAAGACAGCTTCATTACCTCTTCCTCTTTTGCCATTCCTCCTTCGTCATCATTTTTTCACCTGCACTTATCACACTCCATCTTCATGTGTGGATTTTCTTCAGTCCTTTGGTTTATCAGAGAAAATGGTGGACTTTTCACCTCTGATCACTGCATCATAAGTTCCTTTCTTCCTGACCAACTATACCTCATGTTACAGAATTTTACTTGGCTGTTTGATCATAACTCCTCGGTATCTGCCATAGCAGGATAACAAACAGCCTTGTTCAATACCTTCCATTTTACCACATTACACAAAGTGTTTTCCTATACTAATTTTCCCTTTTGTTATGTTTCTTCTGGATCAGTTGTCCTCTTCTCCCTACAATATTGCTGGATTGGGATATTAATGTTGTTCTACACACCCTTACCCATCCTCCTTTTGCACTCTTAGCCACCTGTTCCCTCTACCATTTATCCCCTACAACCTATTTCCTACTCTCTTGGCCTGTGGTCTTTGGAAGTCGGACATCTTTGCCATCATTGTTTTATAAACTTTTTACCACCACACCTATATTCTCCTTTATCCGAATTGTAGCTTCCTTCCCAAGATGTCTGCGACTCAGGAAGGCAATTCTGCTTTTATGCCATTTCCATCCTTTCCTTCTCCCATTTATACACCCATGAATCTCTGGATAGATTTCTTTGTCTCATTTGTGCTATTCATCGTTATATTGCCTGCACGACTTCTTTCTGTGGTTCTCGTTCCAGATTATTCATTCCCAGGAACTCATCCTCTCAATAAGACCTTTCACCTTCTACCCTCATGGGCTGGATTCATCAACTTATTCAGATATTATATACATCCCTATCTCCCGATTCCCAACATCTTTTCAAGGTGTAATCTCATCAGATTCGACATTTTTCCTTTTTCTTGGCAGCTTCTCTGCATCGTCCTCTGGAGGAGATATTCTAGTCTGGCATGTGAACCACATTTAACACGTTCATCTCCCACTACCTACATCATGTGACTGTTTCTTTCTCATCCAGATATCGCATTCCACCTGTTGCCATTCTCTACATGAAGGTTTAACTTTGAATCGGTAAGTTTACTTTTCTCTCTCCCCTACAGGCTGATGTTTCTTATAGATAGTGGATCCTGCCCAGTGGTGAGCATTACCTATCTAGGTAAAGCAGAAGGGGATAGCTGCCCATCCCTGCCATTCCTTCGATTGAATAAATCACATTGGCGGGGTGCTTTTCAAAATAGAGTTACCATGGTCATCCATTGCACAGTATGCAGTGTAAGCATTCTTCTGGACTCCCCAACATGTTCCCCCTTCTTCAAGTGGAGTACAGGAGTTCTTACCAGTTCCTAGCTCCTGGGGTGGTAAACGATGGAGACTTCTTCCTGAATGTGCTCAATCCCATTCAATACAGAGTAAGGTGGTGATGTTCTGCTGGTGTAGATCCTCCCACGAAATCAGAAACCCCTCTGGATGAGACCCATCATCTTACCATCGCCTGGATGATGGTTTTGGATTAGAGCTGGACTAGCCAACATAAGTCCTCACATATGTGTTGGTTGGGAACCCTTATCCTACCACAGACACAATGTACTAGTTTTTTGAGGTACCTCTGTACCTTCTCTATCAAGTTGAGGCTTAGAAGTTCAGTATTGTAAGGAGCTAGACTGACTGACAGGTACTCTGGTTGATTGGGGTACCCCTGGAATACCACTTGCGGGTTGTAACTTGTAAGTTCTGGTAATGCATGGAGCTGGACCAGAATCAGAAGTCTAGTTTGTTTTAGATTTGAGTGAATCTCCACATGGGCACTTCCCTTTCTACCATCATTCGGATGTTGGATTCCCGAGTGGCTGGTGTTAGTTATGGATTTGTGCACATGTGCCTTGTCTAGTCAGATGGAATGAGACATTTCCCCTTCTGTCTCATAGGCTTGAAGTGAAGATGGTAGGAACCTTTCTCCTACCATGGACTGGATCATAAATACCCAATGCCGACTGGTTTTGGATTAGAGTTGACCCACTGAGTATGGTCTGACATGCTCTAGCCATTCTACACTGGGGTACGTATCTGTTTATTTTCCCCAACTTTGCTATATTTGGTTGGGAACTCTTCATCCTGCCATCTCCTGGATGTCAATTCCTGGGGTTTTGTTTTGGTTGTTGAGCTGAATCAACCAACATGTATACATTATTGGAAGTGCTCCAACTAATTTCTGCCCAATTATGCAACACTTACTACCACAATGGGCAAAGAGTATACCTGGTACAGAAGTGGTGTAGTCTCCCACAGGTGTGTTCCTCTCACAAGAATGGTCACATTATGTAGATGTTTTTCAGAATGCTCATATAGATGATAACTTTTGCACTTGTCCTTTCACCATTTCAACATGGAATTGTAGCTATTATGTGAGATAAGATGCTGTATGTGAACTTAATATTTTTCTACACTGAAAATATATTTTTTGCTTTGTATTCAAGAGTCTAAAAGTAGTATTCAGAAGTATCATATTTATAAAAGTATCAAAGTATAGAGATTCATGTATTTCAAGTAGCTTATTTGTTTTTGTCCGGATAACCACTTACTCTTAGAGTCTTGGTAAATTTTATTTGCTATTTGGTTTGGAGAAGATATCTATTTACAGATCAAAGGAAAGGATCTGCCTATGTGGCCTTCTTTATCTATGTTTTCAAGACTAGAGCTACTTATTAATGGTAATGGATAAGAAACTTTTGAAGTATGGAATTAACTTTAACAGCTTTATAAAACACCATGGCTATTTAAGTACACAATTTGGGAGTATTAAACTTGCTTTGGAAAACTAGTGGCTCAAACAGATATTCTTTCCTTAAAACCCTCCTCAATAAGGGAAAACACCCTTTTGGTAAATGAAACATAAACTTTCTTCTTTTCTTTCTTTCTTGCAAGGCCTAACGTGGCATAGTGTATTTGTATCCCACTTTGAAATGGTGGGTGCAGTGGTAGAGTCACTATCAAATTCCATTATTTGATTAGACTACTACAAGAGTTGGTAGTCGATAATGTTGATTACCTACTTCTTTCTATCTCAAAATTAGGGACAATTATTACAGTTAATCCATACTTAGCTTTGTTCAAATATCCAAAACAAATCTTTCTTGCAACGTGGTATGATGTTCTCTATAGAACATTATTGTTATGTGACAAAGATACTGTTACACCATTCCCCTCCAGCTGTAATATATGTAATTTTTTATATTATTAGTTTAATAGATTAGGCTTTAGGGCTAAACAGTTAGTAACCGTATGTGGTAAGTTATCTTTGATAAAAGCATATGTCAGTTGAAATGTTTGACAATAAGTAAACTTAACCAAGTTTCCTGGATTTAGTGATCTTTTATTTTCACAAAAATGATGTGATTACCCCAGTATGTTAGAAATTGAAGGTAGTTATATAGTTAATAATATGCAGAAATAGTTTATAATTTCTGGAAATTGCGAGTGGCAATATAATGTTACCTACTGTGTGTGTGTCCAAAAATTCTATCATAAGTAACTGTATAATTGTTTACTTTGCTTGTTGTTTTCATATTTTGAGTAACATTTCTTCTCTTTTTTTTTTAAATGTAATTCTTTTATGAAAACATTTTCCTCCACCTTTTGTGTAAATATAACCAGTCAGTGAATCTGGGATGGAAAGAATTTATCCTTTTTTATTTTAAGGTTAATTTTCCAGAGTTTCACACAGCTTATTCTCTTGTGATTATGGATTTTTTAGAGAGATTCATTCCAAGTCCAACCCTGGCTCACCAACAAGAGCTGTTAAAGGTATCCAACTTCATCGAACTAGTGAACAGAATGAGAACACACTCTGTGAAAGAATTATCAATCTACAGATATCAGGAAAGAAATGTATCTCTTATTATTCAGCCCCTAAGAAAATAGATGATGAAGGTGGCTTAAAAAAAGCACAAGTTCTTCAGGAAGCTTCGACTCTGAAACAAGCCAATCCTGTTGAGGTGCTACCTGATATTAAAAGTTCTTTTAAATGCACCATACCTACTTTGGTACCTCTTAATTCTTCCCCACCACGACAGATAAAATCAGTGAGTGGGCTAATTTCAAGAACTAAGGAGAGCCATCCTAAAGTGGCTGATAATGCTGAGAAAAATGTAATCTGTAGAAATAGAAGTCAAAGTTGGGATTCAAACTCGTTAGTTTTTGATCCAATAAATCCTGTTCAAGATATTAGACCAATCATCAGGAGAGAATCAAGGAGATTCAGTGCAGCTGATGTGTTGATTAAGATGAGAGAAAGTAATCAAAAAATCAAAAGTGACCTCAAAGTTAAAGATAATCTAATGTGTGATGGGCTTCAGCCATTAGAAGAGAAGAGAGAAAAATTATACCTCTTTAGCAATCATGAAGTTTCAACTGTGGAAGATCCCATTATATTCACAACTGAACAAGAACCCCAACAGAATTTCAGTTCCAACATAGTAGAATCTAGTGTGTTGTCAGCATCATCATCATTGAAGCATCAGTATTTATCCCAAAGAAAATATAAAAATGGGAAGATGCAAAAAGAAAAAATATTAAACTGTGTTCCGACAAAAAATATTCCTTTCTGTAGTAAGGAAGAAAAGAATAAAAAATTTCAAGTTTCAGTGCAAAAAGAGTGTTCATCCTTGGTGTCTTCTAATAATACTTCACAATATGGAGTCCAGGAGTCATTAATTGTTTGTGGTGAAAATGTAAATGGTTTACAGGACAATTCTCATGCCATTAACAATGGAATACCTTTGGTGGCTCAGGGAAGTACCATTAACAATGGAATACCTTTGATGTCTCAGGGAAGTAGCAAAGGTCCAGGTACTGCTAAATGCAAGTCCAACAAAGAGCAAGAAATTAGAAAAGCAAAAACAGCCTCTCCTTATTCAGTTAGTGTAAAACTTGTAAAACAAGAAAGAAAATCCAGATCAGCAAAGTGTTCAAATGAGAGACAAAATAATGTACTAACATTACTAAGGGGTCATTCACTTTCTCTCATTCCATGTGTGATTAAAAAAATGCAGAAACAGCCTAAAGTTTTAAATAGCAATACACCACATTTTTCAAAGAGAGCCTTAATGAACAAAATTTCCAAGAAAGAACCATGTATTAGCACGAATATAATTTTAAATGCTCAGAATCAGTGCATTAGAAAAAAACATTTAACAGACTCATTATCTCTTTTAGAATCACAAAAGACAAATATTTGTGATGGTCAAAATCCAATTGTCACCACTAAAATAATAGCAAGTACTAAATATTCCACATCCTCTTCTACTTCCAAATTTGCAAAGAAGGAAACTACCGATAAAGATGATGACAGAGACAGTGCATCACAAATGTCTTCATCATCATGGGTTTATGTTCAAACACAGAATCCACATCACTCTAATGGAGAACAGCAACATTCAAGTGAACAATCTCAAGGTGATTTAAAGCAAGTGCCCTTCAGTGTTGATGAGTATAACAGTAATACAAGGGGTCAACCAATTTCGAAATTTAATGGCATGTTTTGTGATAAAACAACCAACATTTCCATTGTACATCAAGAAAAAATGGACCATGGATGCTCAAATGAGAATATCCCAAAATACTGTGATAATTTAGAACATAAAAAACCCGAACACACTGGAGTTGAACAAACTTCCTCAGCAGGAAACACTAGAGTATCAGATGGACAATGTGGTTCAGAACTTAATTGTCTGGACTGTTCTGATGACAGCTCTGGAATGGAAGGGGAAAGATTGGTATGTATATTTATATTTTTCGTTATTAAAGACACTTCAGTATTGGAAAAGTTTCTAGATAAGTTTAATAGATCACGATGGGGCTTAAGTAAAAACAGTTTTTGTTGCTCTTACATATTTCAAAAGCCAACTAATATTTTAAAACCTTTTTTTCAGAAACATTAAGCTTAGGAATGAAAAAAAATTGGTGTTTTAGTTCAAAGTAAAGGTAGGAAAGGAAATACCTATGATAATTTTGAAAGAAAGATCCATACTATAAAAAATGTTTTTCTTTATTCTTTTTTTACTTTTAATCTTAGAATTTCATTCAGTTTTAGGAACATGCATTAGACAGGGTTATAAATTGTAAGTTGTCTTTAAAGCTGAAAATTATTTTGAGTCAAGTTTAAACTTATGTTTGAGAAAAGTGCAGAAAATATATGTGTTTCATAGAAATATACTGAGAATTAACTATACATCAAAAATTTGTATTAGAACATGTCACCAAGCCTAAGAACAGAGAGTGAAATGACCTTAGAGTGGTCAGATGAGATGGCTTCACCAAGTGAAAGTGAATGTTTGAGTTCGGTAAGATATTAAAATAGTTTCCATTTAATAGAAATATGGAAGTAACAATTTGGAAGTACTTAGATACTAATTTTTCTTTGGCTGGAAAATTAATTTTATTCTTCTTGTTACAGATAAGAAAAAAATTAATAGTCTTACTCTGTGAGTGTGATAATGGTAGTGCTGTAATAAAAAGTTTGTGTATTCACATAGATATATATGAACTGCTGAATCATAATTTGTTATATTTGAATCTAGAATTTAACTGTTACATAATAATAAGTTTCTAAAAAAACTGAATTTTAAATAGTTGTATAAATGAACTATAGGTGAAACTCTTAAAAGAAATATTTTAATTTTTAACTTTAAATGAGCTATATTCTTCATGAGCCATCTTTTATATAGGTCATGCATAATATACAAAATATAGCATATTTGTAGCAATAATAAGTATTGCTAGGTTATGTTTGTGTCTTGATATTAAGTAAGTATTTCACTTTAGGTATTTGTTTAAACTTTATTATTTGGCTAATAAACAGATTATTTCTACAGATTTCACTGTCGGCACTAGTCCTCTTTGCCAGTTACCTTGAAACTACATAATAGAGTAATAAAGACCTTGTTATACACATAAACCATTAACAGCCTGGTAGGAAAGTCTAGGGCAGAGGTGATGAACCTTTCATGTATACTGAAAATACAATATATAATTTTAAATTTCCTGCCAGTTTTGTAGCAACTGTTGTCTAGTAGTTAGTTGGACTTTTGTTGCCGGATTTTGATGCAAGTTTTGTAATTCTTGACACACGGTTTATTACTTTTAGCACCACACATGCTGCACTCATCTCTTTTGTAAGTCAGTTTTTTGCATCTAGCTTGACATAGTTTATTCTCAAATAAAAGAATAGACCAAACCAAATGTTATCAGTGTGGTATTCCATGCTCATCAGTACTGACTTGATTATTCCCTTTAATTCTCAGTATTTTCCAGTTGAGTATTTAAATCAGTAAACTTTGTCCTATAGGCAGAACTTTCCTGAAACTCTACCATTTCCAGTTTATCAATATATAGTTACTTGAGCTATGTCAAACATAGATATTTAAATTTGACCTTGTGTAGACTCGTCATGAATAGCAAAGGTTTTTTTTTCTTACTATTGAAGTTGATGAAACTATTCTGAAAAGATCCTTAATGCTTGGCCTAGTACTTTTGAAAAAGTTTTGTGCACATTTTTATATTTTTTGTGTGTGTACTGAGTAAAATGATTTTGCTTACCAGTTGTTAACTGTAGCTAGTTTAGGTACTGAAGTAAGTATTAATTTCAAGCCCAACTGGTATGGTGTGTCTTTTTAATACAAGGCAACATACAGTGAATGAGAATCCAGTTTTCTATCAAGACTTTCTCATTGTCTTGTTTGACATCAATTATACAAGTAATAAAAAGTGAAATTGTGTATTATTAGCTTTCTTTTTTTATCTACGGCCTAGTGGCTCATAGAACAGTTTTGCCTTTTTTTTTCAAGTACAAACATTTAGCTCATAGCTCCATCTTTTGACTGATTTGAGATCTAATTACAGCTGTAGCTATTGAGAATTCCCTCTTATTTTAATTGTAATTCAGAGAAAAACATTTTGCAAACCTGGCTTAGCAGATCTAAAATAGGTAATTGATAGCAAATATGTTGCCAGTCCTATCGATATGAAACAAATTCTTCTTTTCAAATGTGAAACCATAAGCAGTCTGATAAGAATATGAAGTGCTGTCAAGTTTGAGAAATAACTGGAAAACTGAAAACTAAATTTCAACAATCTTCTATATAGGTCGTCAAGTTGGGATACATATGTTGTTCATAATTTTATATATATATATATATATATATATATATATTCATCTATTTTCTACATTA